TTATAGCTACCTGTAGTCTCCATTGTAGTGCCTTTTTTGGGTTACTTTATAGAACCCTAAATATAAAATTTGTTAAACCAAGAAAAGGAACTACAATGGAGACATATGGAGACTGTAGGTACACCCTGAATGGAGCACAGGCCGCAGAACTACAGAGACAAGGCAGTAACAGAGGGCCATGGCCAGGCGGTGCTGTGATCATTCTTCCTCTCACCCTGACTTCTGACACCTCCTCATTAGAATGCAATGCACTACACATTTTAGGGTTAAGGGTTTAGGGTTACAGTGCAACGCACTACACATGTGTTTCAGGTCAGGCTTTACAGTGTAGGGCCCAAGTTTTCGCGAACGACACTGCCAAGTACGGTTTGCACCCGTGGACTTGACATGGAGTCGGCGCACCTCCGCGACGGGCTGCTCCTTGCAAAAGCAAGAGTCTGTTGTTGGTATGGGGGGAATGGACGACGGCTTCTTTTCATGACTGTGGACTTGAGGCTGCTCCGTGGACAAGGGAACTTGAGACCGAAACCGAAGCTGTGAACCTGAACCAAGAGCAACGATGAACCTTTCACCGCCCTGACCGCATACCAAACAGAAGAAATCGCGCCTGCCAGCGCCCAAAACGCCTCCGGCAACTCTGCGCTGCCTGCGAAGCGAGTGCTTTCCTTGTTCAGGTTTAGGGTTTAGGGTTTAGGGTTTAGGGTTAGGGTTTATTCAAGACGCTGCCCTTGCTGGGTCGAGGCCTTGGCTTCGCTTCAAAGGCCAAGACTTCAGGGCTTACTGCAGGCCTAGGTGGTGGCGCTTGAAGTCTAGTGCTGAAGCTCCGGGGCGCTTGACTGCTCTTCGCCATACTGAAGAAAGACACTCGCTTATGGCTCCTGCATAACTATTGACAGTAATAAGTCCCCGACAGGCTATTCCCGTGTCAGCATTCCTTTTTGACCTCTGCAGCTGGGCCGACTTGTCCGACACCGAAGAGGTCGTCCTTGAAGGCCACGAGACCGTCAGGGCAACAAAGGCTCGTGTAGTCTTGCTTTTTTACGCCAATATCGGGGCCTGAATAGCTTGCAGAGGGCTTTGGAAAATGTGTTGTATGATTCCGATGTTACATTACTCTCATTATCTCATTCTCGCACTCACTTGCTGCTTCCCGATTGCACTGACCCCATGAATCTGGGTATCTACGAGTGCGGATGCAGTTTCCGCCGAGGCACGTGCTTTCGGATGCTGCGGTGTAAGTCCCACCCTGCTGGGAGGTATTGGGGCTGCACACTGTCCAGAAAAGTCTGCCGCCAGTCCAAGACAAACTGGAAGCACCTCCATAGCAAGGAGGGTTTTAAGCTGGGGCGTTTCGGAAAATACCGTATATGAAATGCATGAGTCCAAGTCAGCAGCACCCTTGTGAGAGGGATCCCTAATCAAGGCCTCGAGCTTGCAGAAACCAAGCTTTTGGCATAGCAGTTGAGACGCAGTAGTGTCTGCCGCTTTATGCAAGCCCGCCTTGCTTCCGAAGTTTCCGCATCCTCCGTGCTTGCCTGAGAGACAGGGATCCAATCTTGCAGCTCCTGTGCTTGTACTCCTGCCGAAGCCTGTCCAATTACTGAACTCTGCAATGCATTGGATCTAGTTCTATCTCCGAATAGTCGAGCAATGACTACTAAGACTAAGACAAGAGCCTCACCCCTAAACCCTAAACCGTAACCCCTACACCGTAAATATAGTACTGACTCCAGCCCTTATCCGACATGACTTGCTGGGATCCACCGCAGGCTGCACAGAAACCAAATCTAGAATCCCAGAAGCTAAAACCCAGTACTAGAAAATGCTTCACAGCGCTTATGTATAACCGATGATACATGTTCCCGATTTCCGCATGGCAACTCAAACTAGCCCTCCAGACGCACGAACACCGTTCTTTCGCAAGTTTCTCAGGCTTAAGCCATGCAACTGCAGCGAGACTACAGGAAGCCATGATGGATGTTCGGACCATGCCAAAACCCGGAATCTCAAAAGCCATAGGCCCGAATATAGGGGCCTTAAAAATTAGAATAGGGTTTTGGGGTATGTTACACTTTACTTATAATAAGGAGCCCCCCCCAAACTAGTATTGGTAAGTATTTGGACCCTTAAAGTAAACACCCGGAGCCTCTTTCCCAACCCAAACCCCGAACCGGTTTAGGGTTTAGGGTTCAGAGTTTAGGGTTTAGGGTACCCTTGCTCCTCAAACCCTTGAAATCCTTTACCATGCACCCTTGAGCCGTGTTAGAACGAGGGGGGGAGGGTGGGGTGGGGGGTTGAAGACAAGAAGCAGGAGACAGGCACACGATCATCCAAACTGATAAGGAAAACACTGATCCTAAACACAATCTACCCCAAACCCTACACCCTAAAACCCCAAAACCCTACACCCTAACACCCTAAAGCCCTGGGGCCCTAAACCCTAAACCCACCCACCACTCCTAACTCCGGGATGCCTCCGTGATCCGCAGGTGATTGGCGCAGGCCACCTCCGGCGAGACGTAGCCATCAACTGCTTCCTGCAGACGTCCGGGGTCCTTTTGGGTTTATGTGTCAGGTTTTGCCCCGTTTTATGTTTTAGTGTTGAGGGGGTTTAGGGTTTAGGGTTTGGGGTTTATGTTTCAAGGTTTAGGGATTCGAGAAATTCTGAATGACGAGGCTCTTTAGACTTCGTATCTAGGGTGTGGGTCGGTTGGCTTTGGTGTTTAGTGTAGGATTCTGTTCTTGCTTCAACCACCGTCACTGTTCTTTCCGGGCTTGGCTTTGGTAGGGTTAGGACCCTAAACCCTACCTGCACCCTTAATAACCTACCTTTTTAAGGACCTATATATGGAAATCAGAATAAGGAGCCCTAAAACGGTAGGTTCTTTAGGGTAAACCCTAAAGCCCCCTTAGGGTTTGTGGACTGGAAGTCTGGTTCATCGGATACATTCTGGAACTCCCATGAAGCCTGCAGGGTTTAGGGTTCAGGGTTTAGGGTTTAGGTTTAGGGTTCAGGGCTCTGATGAATTTGGGGCGCTAGGCTTGCCGCACTGGTGCTCTTAAGCTGTGGAGTCAGGGGAGTCCTTCTCACCTTCGGGTCTTGCCAGCTTGTGAGTTCGGGTACACGGAACATGGTTGCGACGCAGTTGCAACAAGTGCACACCGTGCGAAACATTGGAAAAGATCCCGCACACTGAAGTTCGTGACGGACGACATAGGACATGTATTTTTCCTCCCGCCGTCTACTCTCAAGCGCAGCAAGAATACTCCATCTCTCTCGATTCCGGTGCAGACAAGATACATGGACAAGACATGCAGAGGCAGTGGATTCGTTGCAAACTTACAGTACTATCCATCAACATGAAGTGCAACTACCCATCCTCATCCCCCAAGATTCTCCAGCCACTTTGCGCCCACCCCCGAGCGGCCTTCACATCAAGAACCCTGACTTGCTCGACTTCTTCCTTCGTCAAGGCTTCACCTGAAATCTTGTTGCAACATGAGTCCGGTATCGAGAAGTGGCGGGCAGGACAAATGTAGTCAAAAGCCAGAGCGACCATGTTCAGGTAAGTTGGTATGTGAAACTCCCTTGCTAGGAGAAGAAATCCATCAAGCAGCGGCAAATGGAGTACTTCAGGTTTCTTCGGCTCACATCTCAACCGATGCCTTCTTGTTGTGAGTCAGTTAACCCTTATCAGGTTTTAAGTTGACATGCCTTTGCTGTCCCTAAACAGGATGTGGCATTCAGAACTGTCCCTAGGCTTGGGATGCTTGGATCTGATGTTCTCCCACACTGCCATGCAAGAGGGCTGCACTGCACCCGTCATTCGGCGGGTCCAAGAAACCGCAATCAAGCGATGCGCAATGAAGCACCCTAGGGCTCCAAGTATACAAATAGTACCTACTTTGGGGTCTAAAGTCTGTAAGTAGTACCTACATTGGGCTATTTGGAGCCCCAGGGATTGGGCCCTATGGAGCTTTGCAATTTTGGGCGCAAAGACGCAGCCGGGGCCTGGCAGTTTGCCGAGGAAGCCTCGAAGGATGCCTTCCTTCTCCTTGCGCACCTTCGTAGGCCACGATGTTCAGGAACCCTAAAACACAGGGTTTAGGGCTTAGGGCTTATAATGTAGTGTTTAGGGTTTAGGGTTTAGGGCTTATTTTGTAGGGTTTAGGGTTCAGGGTTTTACATTCTTGCTCAGTTTTCGACTGTAAAAGGAGATGGTGGCTCCGATTTGAGGGCCTCTACCACCCACACCTTGATTCAAAATTATGCGCTTGCGGAGTTCACACTAACAGGTCTACCTCTCTACTTCCATGTGTAAAATGCCACTAATGCTACTAATGCTGCTGCTACTACTACCTACTACTACTACTACTACTACTACTACTTCTTCGACGACGATGACTACTCTACCAGGACGAATATACGACTCTTACCACCGCCATGCACCACCACCACGATCACGACCACGACTACCAAGATTACGACTACGACGACGACTACCAAGAATACAACTACGACGGCGACCACGCACTTTTGCTCGCGATTACGAACCAGAACCATGCGACCGCCTTGACAAGAACCGAGTGTCGCCATCAGACATAATCTACAGTAAATGCTGTTTTCGGAGAACTCAGGCACGAATCAATAATGACACTGTTCGGATGACAGCTCGATGACGACTGTAACTGACAACTTCTTGGATGCAGGGTCACGCAAGTTCTGCAGTAATCACTGCAAGTTGAGTCAGTTTCATATTTATATGCCTCGTTCGGCAACGCGTGGCGCAGAGCAGCGGCGGCCCCACGCGCACGCAGCTTGCACTCGTCCACCCTTCGTGCGAACGGGCAGGTGTTGGTATGGAGATACCCAGAGTGTCGGAAATCAAGAAATTTCTGCCTTCTACAGCCACTATGGCTGACTAGGTCTGAGCATGTACTTGACATGGGCTCGGAACATGAGCTTGACGTTGCTTTGTGTAATCTACCCTTAGCTTCACTTCTCGGTATAGCACTTTCCCTGGCTACAGAGCTCATGGAAACATTGAACTTGAGAAAACCAAGCCAATGAAGCACCAATCTCCCCCCACCCCTTTGACATTGACAAGAGAATCTCGGAAATGTAGGAAGTCTGAGCTTGTCAAAGGAAGTTCGGGGGACGCAAATCAAAAGATGCGCTGGCGAGCCTGAGCCAATTCCCGAAAATCACAGCTGAAAGCCGGAGCTGTGAGGGCCTCTAGGCGTACACCCTAGTCACCCTAAGACCCTAAACCTTCTCGAAGACCCCAATCAATGATTCCGAAACACTGTGTTGCACACGAGTACTACTACCCCCTTCTATAAAGCTCGACTATGACTATAAGTCCAATATATCCCCAAGACATACCATGTTGTTCGGGCCTGAAGCGTCCTTTGACCCCGGGTGCCGAGGCGTCGCGCTGCCCAGCATCCGCCAGCAAACGCTGGCGGCGGTTCTGAAGAGCTTTACAAGCTTTGAAGCTTTAGGGCTAGAGTAGAATAGGCGTTACGGCTTCAACTGGGGTTAGTAGTAGTAGTAGTAGTAGTAGTAGTAGTAGTAGTAGTAGCAGTAGTAGTAGTAGTAGTAGTAGTAGTAGTAGTAGTAGTAGCATCAGCATCAGCATCAGCAGCA